CCGAAGGTCTGTCCTGATTATTTTTTACAACTCTCATAGGGCCTGCTATCTGGCTATACCACTCTATGTATGCGGCTTCGTTGTCCTTGGCGCCTCTTTCCAGAACCATCTGAGCGTTGGCGCTCTTGTCATGGGATGGGGTATTGCAGAAGTTGCGATTATGATCAATACGGTTGCAGTATGTACGTATATTATTTTGGTTTACCTCGCATCTCCATTTACAGCTTGATATCCTCCCATGACAGATGCTTACTGTAACGATTGTTTTCCGACGCGTCAAGTGCGTCGACCGAGTCTCTTTTCTCCTCTCTACTGCTAAACTCTTTTGTAGGGAGAAATCAGTGCGTTCATTAGTCTAGCGAGAACTCTGGGGGGTGAGTATACGTGACTCCCGATACCGGCTACTCGAACAAGAAAACTGAGGCGGTAATTCCAATAGGCTTCAGTGTAGCGTACTTCCAAATACCCTGGGCATCAAAGCACGGTGCTCTACAAGTTTTTGGTGTTGAAGCTGCGTAAGTTTGACCAGATACCTATTGTTTAGAGCTTGTAATTCATCCGGAGATCGTTAGGATTGTGGTCGGTTTGTTTTTCCTGTCCGTACCCTTGATTCAAATGAAGGGGCGACAATTCCGGGTGCGTACTAGTTATCACAGCACCCACCTCTTCTAACACCAATTTGCAGGAGAAATATTCACTATGAATTTTATGAGATTGGTGTACAAATTTAATACCATGGTGATGTTTTTCATTGAAATCGGCATTGCCTATGGAAAATAAAGCATGTACTCTCAATCACTTTTTACCTCGTCCCCACCCATCCATGCCGGTGCAAGAAGATTGAGTCTTCAAAGCTCACATCTTCCAGGTCCACGCTCGCAGGGACTTGAACTTCAAGCTCCGTGCTTTCCTGAGCCATCACAGTGGAAAAATACACTGTTAGTCCTAGGTGCAGACTTACAATTGTCTTGAGAATGAATGAACAAACATCTACATACATGCATATGCATCATTGAGCCTGGATTCACGAGACTATATAGCGAACAAGCCATTCTCTACGTTGTGGATGCTTCTAACTGATGCTCGGTGCATGCGTGGTTCCAGATAGACGCATCCTCAACTCAATATTATGTGATTTGAGTAGTCCAATGTGGTGTAGTGGCTAACATTGCTGTCATTCAAAATCCAAAAAGACTCAGTTCGCAGTCGCCGGTGAATAGGTATTAGGGAGGTAGCACATACCCGGAAATGTCGTCCTTTTATTTGCATCAATGGTACAGATAAGAAGAACAACCCGATAACAAACCTAAAAAATTGAATGAGATTATTTGGTTAGTATCCTACACAACGAATGAATGAATAACAACGAGCAAACTTACGCTGCTTTAACACCAAATACTCGTATTGCTCCATGATTCAATGCCCAAGGTACTTGGAAGTACGCCACGGCGAAACCTGCACCAGAACGGAATGCCCGAGTTAGATTTATTCAATACAAATACCTGCATACACCCCTACCTCCAAGAGTTCTCGCTAAATTAATCAAAGCACTGACTTCTCCCTAATCCATCATTGATTAGCACAGCTCAGCGAAGGGACTATGAGGATTAATCATCCCATATTGGAGTGTATATCAGCTAACCGTCGAATCCTTGAACCCTTTTGTTCATTCGTTCCTCTCACTCGTTGAGTTCTGCTTTGATGCTCACACAGTCTTCTTTGTTAAGGATCACGACATCTTTCCCTCTGTAAGGTCCTGCTTCATTCATTCTATCCTTCATCCTTGGCGAGAGCGTGTGGGGACAGATGGGGACAGGGGGACTTCCAAAAAAACATAAGATCCGTGTTTGTCTCTCTCTGAACCGTGCTTTCTTTTCCTCTCTTCCTTTATATCTTTGAGGCTCAGTTGCATTCAAGCGAAATTTCAGATGTCAGCCGATAATAACGAGAGAAATTCTGAGGAAAAGAAAGAAGATGCATTCGAGGAGAAGGAAATCAACTTGACTACGTTTCATGAACAGAGAGCGGGGCGATTAGTTGTCTCTCCCGAGTATGTTTTTATCTCTCTCTTAGTGATCCCATTCGGTTTGCTGAACATGTTTTCTTAACTAGAGAAGCTCGGATTGAATTTAGTGAAGCTGTCGCCTCACGACTCAAGCTCTCCAAGGACGGAACCAAGGTCCTTTGGCCACAACCCACTGATTCACCTCACGACCCGCAAAACTGGAGCAACCGTCGAAAGTATATGCATCTGATCATTATGACTCTGGCTGCGATTGTACCAGACTTCGATTCGGCAGTAGGGTATGTTAACTTTCTTTATCTCGTCTTCCTTTCGCCGGTCGATATCAAACTCAGGCTTTGAGATGTTCACTATTGTTTTGCTGAAATTCTATCTATAGGCATTCCTACGATTTTCCAACTCGCGGAGGAGTACAACACAACCACTGGCGTTATCAATAACCTGACATCCAAGTCAGTTCTTGACCTTCTTCAGTACCAAGGGACATTGCAACTGATTCTCTAAATACAGTTGGAGTATATTCCTTATTGGTTTTGGTGCGATCTTCGCAGTTATGTTGATCCGTCGATATGGTCGTCTTCCGGTTCTTTTCTGGTCGCAGGTGTGTACAATACTCAAATTCTATTCATGGCTTGCAACTGACTTGCACGAATGCAGATTCTTGCTCTGGCTTTCCTTGTAGGCTGCGCAGTTGCGCCCAATCTCAACACCTTCACAGGTAGGTATTCAGATTTAAGTGCAGAGTCGAGCCAGGTATATAATCTTTGGTTGAAGCCATGCGCTGCCTTAATGGTTTTTTCGCGTACGTTCCATGCAGAATATTCCTCAACCTTTAACATTAACATGTCGGTGGTAGAACTGTACCGCAAGCAACTGTAAGTCCCTCCTCAAAGCTTGCGCGTACTGAGATATAGACCATTGTACAGGGCCTCTATACCGTGACAGACCTGTTCCCGTTTCATTTACAGGCCCGAAATGTCAGTGTCATTTGCTTTGAGGTATTCTCCCTGAACTAACTAGCTTACCTATATATTAGTTGAACATCTGGACGATGGGCTTCGTTATCAGCCCGTTCATCTCTCCATTCGCATTCGGTTTCTTGGTTGCAAAGACTACATGGCGATGGGCGTATGGAATTGCATGCATTTACAGTGGAGTCATGTGTTTGCTTATCGCCTTGTTCATGCATGAAACGTTTGTCTCTTTCTACGCTATTGTTTTTCACTCATAGAATATACTTTTACAGCATGTACGACCGTACATTGTCCCCAATACCCGAGCCCGCTGCACAAGGCGGCCTCCGCTACCGCCTTGAGACTCTTGTCGGAATAACAGGCTACAAAATGGCCAAATACCGCCCTAGCTGGTCGGACGTAATTCTTTCTCCGCTGAATCTGATATGGAGACCGCATTTGTTAATTATTCTTACTTTCGAGGTATGTTTTCATTCTCGAACAATCAGATCTTACAGTTACCAAAGAACCTTCGTAGGGCATGCTTTTTGGGTTCGGGATTGGTATCAATGTAACTAACGTCGTGTTTTTGGGAAGCCCACCACCATTGGGATACAGCTTTGGTCCGAGGGTGATTGCTGGTACTTACGCGACGCCTATTGTACGTTATTGGTCTTTCTGCACGTCCTACGGTCCTACGGTCCTATGGCTTACAGTAACAGGTTGCAGTTTTCATCGGCGAACTTATCGGTCGGTACAACAATGACTTTATCATGAATATCACCGTCAGGCGAAATAACGGAGTGTTCGAGGCGGAGAGTCGATTGTGGTGAGTGCCCTTCCTAGTAGTCGGCACCGAAGGTCTGTCCTGAATATTTTTTACAACTCTCATAGGGCCTGCTATCTGGCTATACCACTCTATGTATGCGGCTTCGTTGTCCTTGGCGCCTCTTTCCAGAACCATCTGAGCGTTGGCGCTCTTGTCATGGGATGGGGTATTGCAGAAGTTGCGATTATGATCAATACGGTTGCAGTATGTACGTATATTATCTTGGTTTACCTCGCATCTCCATTTACAGCTGATATCCTGCCATGACAGATGCTTACTGTAACGATTGTTTTCCGACGCGTCAAGTGCGTCGACCGAGTCTCTTTTCTCCTCTCTACTGCTAAACTCTTTTTGTAGGGAGAAATCAGTGCGTTCATTAGTCTAGCGAGAACTCTGGGGGGTGAGTATACGTGACTCCCGATACCGGCTACTCGAACAAGAAAAACTGAGGCGGAAATTCCAATAGGCTTCAGTGTAGCGTACTTCCAAATACCCTGGGCATCAAAGCACGGTGCTCTACAAGTTTTTGGTGTTGAAGCTGCGTAAGTTTGACCAGATACCTATTGTTTAGAGCTTGTAATTCATCCGGAGATCATTAGGATTGTGGTCGGTTTATTCTTCGTGTCCGTACCCTTGATTCAAATGAAGGGGCGACAATTCCGGGTGCGTACTAGTTATCACAGCACCCACCTCTTCTAACATCCAATTTGTACTAGGAGAAATATTCACTATGAATTTTATGAGATTGTTGTACAAATTGAATACCATGGTGATGTTTTTCATTGAAATCGGCATTGCCTATGGAAAATAAAGCATGTACTCTCAATCACTTTGTACCTCGTCCCCACCCATCCATGACGTCGGTGCAAAGAAGATTGTGCTTTAGTAAGCTCATAGTAGCTACTACATCTTCCAGGTCCACAGCTCGCAGGAACTTGAACTTTCAAGCTCGGTGCTTTCCTGAGCCATTGCAGTGGAGAAATACACTATTTAGTCCCTAGGTGCAGACTTACAATCGTCTCGAAAATGAATGAGCAAACATCTACATGCATATGCATCATTGGGCCTGGATTCACGAGACTATATAGCGAACAAGCCATTCTCTACGTTGTGGATGCTTCTTAATGATGCTAGGTAGCATTGTAGGGGACGAGAATCCTGAATCTGATAGCAAGTAATTTTCCTAACTTAATAATCCAATGTGGTGTAGTGGCTAACATTGCTGTCTTTCATGTCTTTCCATGTTCTAATCACAGCAGCCCGGGGTTCGATTCCCCGCATTGGAATTATTCATCCCTGTCGATTGCTTTTTTCTCTCCGTAAAACTACTTGTTGTACTGATTGCTCAGAGTGAATCAAGACGACTTGAGCACTAGATTTGTTGTAAACTTAGATGCATGAGCAGAGAGCAGAGCATCCACGTTAAATTTAGTGCACAATCGATTCGAACCGATTTCAGCATTCGAAAGCACGTTGCTCGATTCAGAGTCAAAAAAAAAGCGCCCGTGCGCTCCTCAAACCACTACCACCACAAATGTCGGTCATAGCAGACGGCCCCGAGGCTCAGAACGAGCTACTCCTGAAATCCAGCAGTACAAGCAAATACTCCTTAGACAGCGTCCCCGAACACCTCAAGCGCTCGACTCACCGACTTCAATTCCCGCCTTCTTATGTTCTTGTTGGCGTCTATCGACTATGCACAGATCGTAACCTGTACGTTCCTGCGTGGCAAAAGTGCCAGCATGGGACGGTTAGAGGTCTAGGCGTTGGTTTGGTTTGGGTGAGGGCTGGTTTCAAAGTTGAGAATGTGCTGAGTCTCAGATGCGTTTACTGGATAGGCTTTCTTCACGTTTGGGATTCAAAAGAAGGTTATTGAGATTTTCCTTGCAAAGTGCGTTATTGGATTATAATGTTGAGAATGCTACTGACGATTCGGCATGCATAGTTCGCCCCGAGTTACTGGTCTCGCGACCGATACCATGTTTGGGTATCCCATGCCTTTTAATGTCCATACTTGTGCGTGCACTTCCGTCACTCCAACTCGTGGAACTGAACGCTGTTGTCCTCTACAGATGCAGCCATTCTCCTCCTGTCCCAACAAGCCACTATCATCCTCCGCTTCTTTCTCAACTCGCAACATCCGTATCGCGCGCGACCGTGCTTGGAACCAAACTGTCCTTTCACGCGGAAAAGGAGAATCATTTTGGCAGCCTTATGTTGAAGAGTCTGAGCTCGAGGCTGAGGGCGAATCGCAGCATTCAAAGCGAAAGCTCGAGGTGCATCCTGCGAGGTGGTATGATAGTTTGGTTTTGTCTGTGCTTAGGAGCGGTGAGTTGTTGTGTGCCGAGTTTGTTGTTTCGCTAATTCGCTGGTGCAATGTTTACAGTGCTTCTACTCCCGTTCAACTTTTATCCTATCGTTGGGATCCTGATCTCGGCGTGGTTCAAGGGCATGGCTACCTCCAGGATGCTGCATCGTCGGGTACGTGTTCTACTGTGCTCTTCTTCATTCCCTCTCGTCTTGGTCTGCTACTGGTCTTTTTTCTGAGTCCATGGCCAAGTCCTTGCTTTAGTCGCGTTCCACTCGTACATGCACCCCGTTTTATCTATCTTTCTTCGTATCTCTCTTAGCTCATACTGACCCATTCTATGCAGTATTTCGAAGCCAAGAAAATGACCCCGCCGCAGGTAGCTGCGTTCATGGAGGAACACAAGTGGGATTATCGAGGTGAGACCTAGGTCTTCGTTCACTTCATCGTTCTATACCATACCCCGTTCATCCGAGGCCATTGTGGTTATATCTTTCCTTCGTCTACCATTCCTGCCATTCATTCATCTTATATGATCATACAAATTCGTTGTTCAAATCGAATACTAATGTCGATTTGGTATTTGGTAGCATTCGGATTCACCGCCGCCCTCCTTGAAGGCATCCCCATCATTGGGTTGGCATTTACTATTTCGAATAGGGTAGGTGCGGCGATGTGGGCTTTCGGTGAGTAGATTTTTGGAGGATATGTATGACCGGCTGATGTGCGTGTTCATAGATTTGGAAAAGCGACAGCATTACATTGCGGAGAAGAAGCAGATGGAGAAGGAAAAGCATTTCATGGAGAAGGAGGGTTCGAAGATGTAAGATAGTCGATAACTCGGAAGGAGAACGGACTGCATTATTGTAATGGCTCGGACTGTTTACTGTATCTACTTGTACGCTGAATAAGTAATTTGGATTCGAAGTGTGAGGCTTTTGAGTTGGCTTTGAGCGCTTGAGAATAGGAACATATTTCTTTTCCGTTACTCCATTGCTTCGCGCATATAGTACGCACATAATAGCTCCAGTCTTGATTTACAATCTGACGCTATTCAAAGCAGAATGTGCTCGGATTATGATCTTGCTGCATGCACAGAGATCGAGGAAACGCTTTCATACCAGGATTGTACATCCGATGACCGTCCTTCCATCCCGACAGCGACAGCTGAAGGAGTACGAGCTCAGCCTTCAGCGGTCTCTGCTCTCTCTGTCTCCAACTCAAAAGCTTCCCAATGAGATACTCATGTCCATTTTCAACCTCGTTTCTCAGGACAATCTGTTACGAGAAGATCGAGGGTCGAGTTTCGGTTCGAAATTGTGGCCAGATGGTCATGGCCTAACGGCTATGCCCGCCTTGGTGCTCAGCAGTATATGCTCTCGGATGGCGCCAAATTACTCTTTCGCACTCTGCTCTTTGGTCACGGATGACGTTGGTCCTAGCTCTGACGACATTATAGAGGACATCAAAGCATCTTTCTTCACAATGGTCAAGCTTTACATCGACCGGTCTCGTACTTCTTTGCTTAGGCTAAGAATTGACATGATCGAAGACTTTGACCCTGACGAGTCAGTTCCTCATCCTGCGTTGTCTCTTCTGGGGCAAACCACACAGCGTTGGCATCATTTGACGTTTATTGGGTGGAATTTCTTTCGTCGCGAGATCTTCTCTATCCCCGACAATGTCCATGACTTTCCCAGTTTAAAGGGGCTTGAATTTGAACTATGCGACAGAGCAACATTGGAGGTATTTGGGCAAGCTCCCAATCTCAGATGTCTTGAGGTCACTGACGGTCCCATTGAACTAACATCGAAATTTCCGTGGCCACGGCTCACATCTGTTGCTGTTGGTGAAGAGACAAGGCTCGACGGGATTATGGATCGTTGTCCGAATCTCGCCTCCATCCGATTTCAGCTAGTCTGGTATACTCCACATTCTCATCCCCCGAGAGCATTCCAAAGTCTTAAATCATTATCCATTATCCTTTTAGAGGGAAGTTCGGACGTAGCCTGGTTAGACATTGTCCTGTCATGCTGCATTTGCCCTTCTTTGACCTCTTTAACATTGGAAATGCTTGAGGATTATTCGATATCCGAATATGTCTGGCCGTTGCGTACTCTGGAATCTTTCCTAATCCATTCCTCGTGCACCTTGACCGACCTTTCAATGCGAGGTTTCTTGATATCCGACGATGATCTTATCGCCGTCTTCAGACGGATACCCTCCTTGACCTCACTCATTGTCGAGGATAGGCGCGTCTACTCGGACATTGCCTCTTCCAAGGCTATAACCTCGGCTTCTCATTCAAAGTCTTTGTATCACCCGGAACTCTTTCCCTCCATTCTCTACTCCAATCCTCTTACCAAAACTCCGCCATCTTGCTTTGACCTACACAGGGAAGTTTTTCGACGATTCAGGATTTGTGGACATGATCCAATCGCGATGTATATCCAAAGCAGATGCGCATAGGATAGAGATAGACCCATTGCGGTCTCTTGTGTTGGCATCTTGGGATCGTACGCCCGCCTTGCTCGGAGAAGTTGCGGAAATATACGAACCTATAAGCCGTCTGGAGAAGGCAGGGTTTATGCTCATTGTGAAGGGAGTGTTTCATAATACTTGTTCTTGAGGTGGTGCTGTAGGCAATTTCGTAGTGTAGCGTCTGTCTTAACTAGTCTGACTGTTATACTCCACACATTGTAAATGCTCCTAACATTGTAAAAATGCTCCTATAGCTAGTATATTTGTATACTTTTAGTTCTGTAATCAGAAGTTTGGCAGATCAATGGCGCGTAGACTATCATAAGCGCCCGATCTTAATCCGCGTCCACGAGCACCTAGGTACGTGCAATTTCTCGCTCGGGGAAGTTCCAGTGGCTTATATTATCTTGCTAGCTCCCCATATAACACTCGTTTATACGCATGAAATGGCTGCAGAATTGGCAGGCTCGAAGTGCCCAACTTGTGGCACCAGCAACTTTACACCGCGTCTTGATTTGCAATCTGACTTTATTCGAAGGAGAATATTCTCGGATTATGATCCTGCTGCATGCACAGAGATCGAGGAAACGATCTCTCTCCTTGACGCAGAGCACCAGGATTGTGCATCCGAAATTGTCCGCCTACAGCTGCAAATTGAAGCTCTTTCGTCTCGGCAGCGACAGTTGAAGGAGTGCGAGTCGAAATTTCGGTGTCTGCTTTCTCCATCTCCGATTCAAAAGCTTCCCAACGAGGTTCTAATGTCCGTTTTCGACCTCGTCTCCCAGGACAATCTGTTGCGAGAAGAACGAAAGAGGTTCAGTGATTTGTGGCCAGATGGTGAGCATGGCCTAACGGCTATGCCCGCCTTGGTGCTCAGCAGTATATGCTCTGGATGGCGCCAAATTACTCTTTCGCACTCTGCCCTTTGGTCACGGATGACGTTGGTCCTAGCGGCTGTTCACATTATGGAGGACATCAAAGCATCTTTCTTCACAATGGTCAAGCTTTACATCGACCGGTCTCATACTTCTTTGCTTAGGCTAAGAATTGATATGGCCAAATATTACTCTGCGGGGTCAGTTCCTCATTCAGCGTTATCTCTTCTGGGGAAAACCTCACAACGTTGGCATCATTTGACGTTTATTGGGAGCAATCTCTTTCGTCGCGAGATCTTCTCCATCCCCGACAACGTCCGTGATTTTCCCAGTTTAAGGGAGCTCGCATTTAAACTATGCGACAGAGCAGCATTGGAGGTATTTGGGCAAGCTCCCAATCTCAGATGTCTTGAGGTCGCTCACGATGCCATTGAACTAACATCGAATTTTCCGTGGTCGCAGCTCACATCTGTTGCTGTTACTAGTGCAGAGAGGCTCGACGAGGTCATGGATCGTTGTCCGAATCTCGCCTCCATTCGATTTCAGCTAGTCTGGTATACTCCACATTTTCATCCCCCGAGAGCATTCCAAAGTCTTAAATCATTATTCATCATCTTTTTAG